AAACAACTTCTATACAACGAAAGGAGACTGCGACCACGCAAAAGGCCACACCATCTTGGTCTTCATATCTTATCAGAATTTGTTTTATTGATCTTGGTTCTTGGCAAAAATGCTAAGAATCTTTTTGAGTTGGGGACTACGTTTAATATTGAAGATATGAAGACCAAGATGGTGTGGCTTCTAGTATGGTCGCAGTCTCCTTTAGATTTATAGAAGTGGGTTGACCTCGTTGTCGCAACTTGATCTTGTTGTTAGGACGACTTAGTAGAACCTAATCCGAAGTAGTCTGCCATAGTAGTTGTCATAATTCTCAGCATCAGACAGTAGACTTGGTACATTCTCAAACGTTTCGCCGGCATCATCAGTGAGTTTTGCCGTTATCCGCCCCAAGCTACGAATCCGTCAAAGAGACAAGTGAAGCTAAACGCTTGAGCAAACTTTCTGTCGAAACATTCACGCCATCACTTCTGTCCTGGCCCATCTATTTACTCCTTATCCCCTTATACAAGGGGTCAAGGGATTGACTTTACTTGTCTATTTGACGAGTTCGTAGTTTGGTGCAAAGAATGGCAAAACTCAATGATGATGCCGACTACGATGCTGGCGAAACGTTTGAGAATGTACCAAGTCCACTGTCTGATGCCGGGAATTATGACAACTACTATGGCAGACGACTTCGGATAAAGTGCGTTCTACTAAGTCGCCCTAACAACAAGACCTAGTTGCGACAACTAGGTCAACCTACTTCTAAGTTTAATATTGCATTAGGATTAAACAATAAGCTTGTGTTACACACATTATTTATAGAGTATCGCCATTGTTAGCATCATACAACAACTCGTCAAAGAGACAAGTGAAGCCGATCCTTTGACCAAACGTGCGCTTAACAATTGTGGTATCTTCTTTTCTGCCCTGGGTTATTCACGTTTTCGGTAACATCATATCATGCCTCTCACTATTTTCATTTTTACCGTGTTTATTTAGATATAGTGTGGTGTGCTCCTTTGAGCGACATGACACCTTCACACTCCAACTGTCGTTCTCAGCCCCCCCTTTCATCCTTATGCAAGGAATGTTGATCAGTCTGCTTCATTATTATGCAGTCCTCTTTTCTAGTCTTATCCAAATCTCTCTCTTGCTCCATAAAATCCATCTGCTCTACCCGTTGTTCACTTATTTCACTCGACTCTTGCCACCAAATCTGTCGTACTCGAGGCGTTATTCGCCTTCCCCTGCGCCTGGGTGACTAATTCGAGGCGCAAGCCTCTGAGTGTCAAGGTCACCCCTTTGCTACACGTATCACGTCTCTGGTACAAGAGACCTACCGCCAGCCAACGAGCTCCGGTCCCCGCCGTCTCTATCCTGTTTCTATCCCTAATACCAAATCTATGATTTGCCATCCCCTAGTCTCTTGTGTGCCAACACACAAATGTTGTGGTTCTACTTGTTTTGATAAGGCTCACTGAATACGCCTCCTCTTTACTTCTGATTCTTCCTTTCTCATCCCCTTGTGATCTCTTTTCTTAAAATTAAGGATATAACCTTTTTCCAGTCGTCTTCTTTTTGCTGATTTTCCTGTTGTTTAGTCTTCTTCGAGTTTGTTTAGGCAATATGCAAAGTTTTCGCTGATCCTGTCTTCTTCAAGTCTCCTGTTCATTAGATTTCTCTCAGTCACTATATCAATTCCCTCTCGGATCTTGCGTTTTCTCTTATTTTCACCATATCCAGCTAACCTATCAGTCGATTTCCAGTCGATTTCATGCCCCGCCCGTACAATGTGTTCCGATATTTCTGATCTTTGTTTATCCATGTTCCTGCAGAGTCTTTGATTTTCCTTGATTTGTAGGCCAATTTTTCTTCCTTCTGCTCACAGTTGCCGCATTTGATGCGATAAACTTCCGAACATTCAAGTTTATTCGTCTTCTCGTGTTGTGTTGGCAGACCGGTGGAAAGTGTTTTCTTATCCTTTGTTATCACCTTGATATTCCATTTTCGTAATAAAGGTCGCAATTGTTGGCTCAGTTGTGATGAGGCCAAGCAAATCCACTTTTGGTTGTTATCCTCATTCCTGATCTC